TATACTTACTCGTATTTCATAACTTTATACTTTTTTCACTTGGGAATGAGATGAAAAGAAAGTCTAAGAGTAAAATTTTAAAAGCTTCTCAGAATTTGTACATGCAGTAGAATATGATACATAGACTTGCTAAGCCAACATTTATCTGCACTGACCCAGGTAGGTAGCTACTAATTTCAGGGTAGACTCAGTTTGCAGGAAATCTGGCTGTCTACAAGGTTTTCTGTTATTGAAATGCTCTCAGAAATGGAGATATAACTCTGAATTCTGAAATACTGCAGTTAGCAGCCCAAGGGCATATCTAAAATAGATTTAGAGTTTATTATTAGCAATTCATTTTTACAGATGACACAGAAGAAGAGGGAATAGGTTGCAAGAAAATTCTCTTCTTCTGCAGGCTCAATCATTGGACTTACAAAGACAGTACAACTGCCTACAGGTGCAGAGAGGTGTCTAGGGGAAATTCCAAAAGCACCTCAGTGAGCAACGTGCCTAATTCAGTGAACTCTGAAATGAGTGAAATTGCAGATCTGTTCAAGTGCTTTTACAATGCCAGCAAAGAACTTCTTTGCACTGCTAGACATTTAATGATCTCTGTAAGACGCTGCCCAATTAGTAGCAGATGGCCAGCAAAAGGAAAAGGAGTGAAAGGCTTTGCATTTTAATAAATATATTCTGCTTCTGGGCTAGGAAAGGTTTGGCTTGTCTGAGTGGATTTTCTGACTGTAGCTCTGACTCAAGTTACTCTTGCTAGGTACTCTGCTGTCTCAGTGTGGCACCACACAGTAACAGTAAATAAGGTGAGTGGCAGTATCCATGGAAGGATTATTTATTTACATGGTGACATGATGTGTGTCTTCCTGCAGTGATGCCATCACATAATTTCCTTAACTCCTTCCCCTATCACTAGCTTCCCCTGGGGACACAGGATGATGCTCGCTGACGTGCTGGCAGTTCATGTTAAAGGGGGAGCTTTCAATGAGGTGGTGCAAGGCAAGTGGGGCTGCTGTTAGTCACAGAAACTATCACTGCAGACACTTTTTCCTGTGAATGTTGTGTACTAGAGAGCAGTGAGAAAATTATACTTACTGACAGAAATGAAAAGAGCCTAATTACAGTGATTTTTATAGAGAGAGTTAAAGGATGTGTGTCAAAAGAGACTGGTATGTCATTATGATAATATCAGTTGCAACTCCTGTGCTAATTGCTGAAAATGGGTGACATCGTGCAGTTTTTGTGAAAGTGAGTTACTTTGATAACAAAATGAGATAATCTTATTATGAAATCAAAATAAAATTGAAAGAAAAGTAAAATTAATATATTGGTAGGAGTAATAATCAAAGAGGCAGCACTCAGTGTGCTGAAAAGACAGTACAAACAGAAACCCACTAACTGTCTCCAACCCCAAAGCTGTGCTACACATTTGACTCACACTGTGTCAGAAACTGGAATGCTGCACGTGTTGCCTAAACTGGCAGTAAAATCAAGACATATTGACGCGATAAGAAGAGCGTTGTAGGAAGTGGAGGAAGAAAGGAATAAAGAGGAAAGATTAATAAAAATGGGAAAAAGCATAAACCTAGCAATCAAAGTGTGAACCCTTCTGGAATTTTGAGGGTCTCCATGTGTTTGCTCTGGATGTTTACTCCGAACACCCAGCTGCTGAGTATGCTGGACCCTCTCAGATTCAGGCACTCAGACATCTTTGAGGACTGAGGACTTTGTATTTTGGTTTCACACTGACTGTATTATACTACTAAAACTGTCAGAAATACTTGATATAAATAAAATATTAAAGGTATTACTTTAATTCAGCATACATTTTGTTCATCACAGATGTAATTTAATGATAAAAAATGCATACCTACTATAACATAATGCCATCTGTTGACAAATGACCTAGACACTGGAAAACTCTCGATTTTTCTATTCATTAGAGATGAAAATACAGGCACATTCATATGCAAGCCCACAGACCTGCTAGTAGGTTCATGCTCCTAATTATGGTGTAGCCTTAGAAAAATCAGCCATTATTTGAACAGTGATATCAATAGATTGTCAGTTATTAGTGGTTTCCAGATTTTTGTGTCCACCTTGGGGAAATACCAAAAGTTTCATGGATTTTCATGGATACTGTGTTGTCAACAATCTAGTAATGGAAAACCAGAGTGAATAAAGTGGTTAATATTATTCTGTTGACTACCTGGAGTTCATTTATCTCATGAACTGCAGTTTTGATCACTTCCTTAAGCTCTCATCATCTCATTTAATAGAAAAGACACAATCTCATTTCTTAGCAAAGTTTACATATCTTTTCTAAAATTTTAAAATAAGAAAAGGAGAATAATAGAATCATCAGGGTTGGAAGAGACCTTTAAGATCATCAAGTCCAGCTGTTAATCTAGCAGTCCACTGGAACCCCTAAATCATTTCTTCCAGTGTGAGATCCAGACACCTATTAAACACTTTGAGAGGCAGTTATTCCACTACCCCCCTGGGCAATCTATTCCAGTGCCTGACCATCTTAACAGTGAAATATATTTTCCTAACATCTAATCTGAATCTCCCTTGTCTCAGTTTAAGGCCATTTCCTCTACTCCTCTCACTGCAGTCCCCCACCTCACTATAACTTCCTTTCAGGTAGTTAGGGAGAGCAAAGAGGTCGCCCCTGACCTGTCTCCTCTCAAGGTTAAACAAATCCAATTCTCTCAGCCATTTCTCATGCAACATATTTTCCAGACCTTTTATGAGCCTTGTTTCCCTTGGCTGGACTTGCTTCAGCACCTCAATGTGCTTATTGAAGTGAGGGGCCCAAAACTGAACACAGTACTTGAGGTGTGACCTCACCAATGCTGAGTACAGGGGGATGATCACTTCCCTAGTCCTGCTGGCCACACTATTCTTGACACAGGCCAAGATGCCATTGGCTTTCTTGATCACCTGTGCACACTGTTGGCTCATATTGAGCCACTGTCCACCAGCACTCCCAGGTCCCTTTCTGATGAGCAATCCTT